TCCCAGGCCACAAGCAGGGAGCTGCATGGGAAGTGGAACAGCTGGGATTAGAACCAGCGCCCATATTGGATCCTGGCACATTCAAGGTGAGGACTTCAGCTGCTAGGCCATGCCGCTGGGCCCCAGAGGTTTCGATAGTTTAACAGTTCTGAATTACTGCCGATCTCGCCACTCCAAGCAGGATGAAATCTCTCCAGAATCCACTAGTTGACATGGTCCACCTTAGAGTCTCTGTTTACCCAGGTGTTCACTTGGCTGGGGTAGTTGATTGATTTGTTCTGTCCTCGTCCTCTGATGTAGTACCAGGTATTCTCTGCAGACTCCAATACACTGCTGACGCAGTCTCCAGCCCTGTCGTCTACATGAACCAATGGGTGTTGCAGCCCATCTTGATCCTGCCCACCTCACACTCAGTTCTCATGCAAATCAGTGGAAACTACAGTCTATTTGGAGCGACCCACAATAACCCCCACCAGGCCTGCCCCCTGCCCTGGTTCCTGTGCTTGCCAGTATGTACAGCAGACTGGTTCTGTCTGTACCACATCCCATTCCGCTCTTATACATGTCAATGGGCATTGAAGCCTTGTTCAACCCAACGAGCACCATTATCCTGCCTACACATGTGCCAGTAGGTGCCACTCTGTCTAGCCATGCCTGTCCCAGTCCTGGTTTTCATGCTCACCAGTGGCAGTGGCAACCCAAGAGGGAGGTGCCCACTGATTTCCTACTGGGCCAACTCCTACTCCCAGATCTTACACTCTCCAGAATGTGTGACCCATGTCAGCATCTGCTAGCTGATGCTGTGACCCAAGCCCAACGAACTCAAACCAACTCTGGCTTACGCATGCATCAGTAGGAACAGTCAGCCCAGCCTGGCTTTCCCCTTACCCAGCTCACATGAGGCAAACAGGTGTTGTAGCCCTGTCCGGCCTGATCTGCCCCCATCCAAACTCATGCTCTCCAGTGGGAGTGGTTGCCCATCAGGGGAACCCCATGTAGCACCCCCTGTTGGGTTCCCCCTCTTCCTTACCCCCGGGGTCTCACGAATGCGGGGTGGGTGCTGCAGCCCAGTCTGGCATGGCCTACCTCACCTCGGCATTTGTCAGTGGGTGCTGTAACCTGGCCAGGCCCGGCCCACTCCCAATTCCAGCTCACACTGCTGGGGGCTACAGCCTAGCCCAGCAGAGCTGGCCCCCAGTCCCAACCTTCATGTGAAATGGCTCATGTTGTGGCCTGACCCACACTCCATTCTGGTGCTTGGATTTACCAGCAGGTGATATGAACTGGCCCAGTCTGGTTTGTCCCCAACCTGCACCAAATGTATGCCGCTGGGTACCATTACCTGGCCTGGTCTGGCTTGTTCCCTTTCTTGGTTCTTGAGCTCACCTGCAGGGCCTGTGTCCCAACAGAGGAGTTCCATGAGCCCCTCCATCAGAACCTCTCCCAGTGCCAGATCTCCCACATGGGTACAAGGGCCCAAGCACTTGGACCATGTTGTCCTGCTTTCCCAGGCCACAAGCAGGGAGCTGGATTTGAAGTGGAGCAGAGAGCTTGAACCAGTATCTGTATGGGATGTCAGCATTGCAGGTGGTGACTTAACATGCTACACAACAGCACTGCCACCCAAAGTGAGCACTGAGCTGCATGGTAGATATTAGCTGCCTGAAGATACAGGTTGAATCTCCTCTCAGCCAGAAAGAACTTTCAGGCACTTGACATTGTTGTCAGTTCCTGATGAGTTTTCTGGTACCCCTTGGTCCTTTCTCCCCTATCCGATGCAAGAGAGATGCCAACTCCTTCCTATTTGCTAGCTTTCGGAGAGAGTGGCACTGACAGGTGGCTGTTGGAGCCAGGGAACAGCGTGGAACACCCAGCTTCCTCTGTGTAAGGCAGGCAGCTGCTTCTCTCCATCCTGGTCTTGCTGACAAAGGACAAGCTGACTAACTGCCCTGCAGGTGTAGACGAAGCCACGGAGGCGCCCCCAGCTGGATCCTGACGCCTGCAAAGGACAGGGCCACTTTTGCAGGCTGTGTTGCAGCCAAAGCATATGGGAGAAGCTTGTGTCCTGCCATTTGCTCACAGGCCAACAGCTGAACTGCTCTGTTGGCTCCATATGAAAGATGACATCTGGTCACAATAGAAACGGGGTGTTGACATGGCTCTTTCTTCGTGTGTGTTGAACAGCAGACATACACACAGAGGCCTTGCACAAGCTTCTTACACACATGGCCAATACATTACAAATAGGCATAATCCTGACTAGCCGACTAGCTGTTTATTATTTTTCTTTCATTTCTTTTTAAAAATATTTAAGGCTACTTGTTTACATAGTTGATCTAGGGTCGAGGGTTAGGGGATAGGGAGACCATTGTTTACACATTTTGTTTTTCTTCTTGTTGTATATGGGGGAGAGGACTACAACAGAAGCCGTGCCTAGCCTCCCAGCTGCACGTTACCAGGAGATGGGGAACGGCCACCTGATGTCATCCCAGTTTCCCACTGTGGAGCATTTTCTGAGGGTTTTGTTCATGTTCTGAGATGCTGCCCATAGCGCTGCTCCAGGGATGAGGAAATCCTCCTGAGGCGATTGGCTGTCAGAGTCTGCCTCTGATATTTCATCAGCCCAGATGTTTGCCACCAAGCTTCAACGGGGTTGTTGATCAAATTGTTCTGCCCTCCTTTTTCTGCAAACCAATGCTCGCCTGGCCCTCATTTATCACAGGTGGAGCTGCAGCCAACTGAGAGTGACCCCCAACAACTCCCCACTGGACCAGTCCCCCAGCTCTGGATCCTGTGCCTGCCGACGTGTGGATTGGTCTGATCTGCCGCACATCCCGTTGAGATTTCGTATATACCACTGAACCCTGAAGTCTAGCTCAAGTCAACCGATCACCCTCCAGCACACACTCACGCCACACAGGTTTTTCCATCTGCTGATAGCAGGCTGAAGTAAGGGGCCTGTAACTCAACCGAGCTCTCCCACGTGAGTGGAAGGGACCCGAGCACTTCAGCCACCGTGCGCTGTCTCCTGGGGTGCAGCTGGAACTGGAAATGGACCCGGGGCTGTTATGGGGCAGGGAATCCACCCACCGTGCCAGGCCCCATCCCCTGAAAAGCCACAAGTCAACCATAAACCTTTAGGAAGTGGGAGCAGCTGAGGGCTTGGGGATTTTACTACAGTTGCATTTAATTTCAAGGTATACTGTTTTAAAATAATTATTTATTTAAAAAGGCAAAATTAGAGAAAGACAGAGAGATTTTCCATCTGCTGGTTTAGTCCCCAAATGGCCACACGGGCAGGGCTGGGCCAGGCTTTCCCTATAGCATGAACAGGTGCTCCCAGGGGACTGCGGGTGGTGGCTTTCCCCGTGTACCACAGCGCCGGCCCATCAGTAAGGACTGTTGTGTTCAGTGAGTTACCACACGATGTAGAGGCCAGCCTCGTGTGTTTATGTGTTTTTCTTCTTCAGGTTGTACACGAGGGCGGGCAGTTTCTTGGTCTTATAGGCCACACTTCTCCTGATGCGTTCACCTTTGATGTTGACAATATGTGGAAGGAGGGGTGGCCGGACGGTCAGGACCGTGCCCTGGGGTGTGTAGCCTCGTAGGTGCAGCTTGTCGTCACCTTGAGGCGTTACCGCGACCCAACCTGGGTGGGCAGGAGAGAGAAGGCGCCATTAGCACCCACCTTACTACAAACAGCCAAGGGACTGCCACTCTTTCGTGGTTGTTTGCAAAGCCTGGACTGTCAGGACAGCTCACATTCATTGACAAGTACAAGCACTATGTGTGTTTGCACTTCTGGGACGGCATGCTTTGAGCCGGTAGGCTGTTCTCCACGCTTTGTCAGGGCCTGGTGCAGGGCTACCTACCTGCCGATGAAAACTTGATGTCCGCCACGGCCTCCATGTCCCCATGGCCTTCCTTTAAGGTGATGTCTTCACCAACCAGAGGGGGAAAGGCCTTCATTCGCTCCTCTCCACCCTTGGGAACCTGCCAACAAGAGGAAAATGAGGGTGTCTGGAAGCTGAACTCCCACTCCATGGCACTCCCATTCAGAGTAATCACTGAAGAGTTCAGCACAGAGAGCAAGAACAACAGCAGGGGACTTCACCCAAGGCCCACGGAGGGCTCATGGGAAGCACGGGCTGGTGTGTGGGCTCAGGGTCACGCCCCAGGCACGGACAGCGCTTCCCAGGCCGCCCAAGGGCAATGCTGGCCAGGAAGACAAGCACCTCAGCTCACCCAGTGCAGCCAGGAATGGAACCCATGTCTTCTTTCAACTCAAGGATCCAAGCATACTTCAGAAAGTGTACACAAATGGCATTGCAAGCCAATTTTGGTGCAAGATATATGCATGCAAGATGTCTTCATAGAAGTACAAGGTGAGGCCTGGCGTCATGATGCAGCAGCTTAAGCCTCCACCCAGGGGATAAGCATCCCAAATGACTTGGTCATATCTTGGTGGCTCCATTTCTCATCCAGCTCCCTGATAATGTGTCTGGGAAAGCAGTGGAAGATGGTCCAAGTGGTTGGGTCCCTGCACCTGCATGGGAGACAATGGATGAAGCTGCTGGCTCCTGCATTTGGCCCAGTTCTGGCCTCTGCAGCCATTCGGGGAGTGAGCCAGCAGAGGAAGGTCTCTGTGTCCTCCTCTCTGTAAATCTGCCTTTCAGGTTAAAATCAATCTTTGTTTTATTACTAGAAAGTCAGGTATACAGGGAAGGAGAGGAGGAAAAGAAGATATTTCGTCCGATGATTCACTGGAGCTGCACTGATCTGAAGCCAGGAGCCTCTTCTGGGTCTCCCACGCGGGTGCAGGGTTCCAAGACTTTGGGGCGTCTTTGACTGCTTTCCCAGGCCACACGCAGGGAGCTGGATGATAAGTGGGACTGCTGGGATTAGAACCAGCACCCATATGGGATCCCAGCGCAAGGAAGTCAAGGACTTTAGCCGCTAGGCCGCTGTGCTGGGTCTCAATCTTCTTGTTTTTACCTTCATATCAGATGGATCATGGATTGACATCGTACGAGGCTTAAAGGGAGGTAGTTGCCACATAAACATGCATCAACCCAACCATCATGCTGATAAGCGACAAAAGGATCAAATACACCAATCTTACAAATCCAGGGTACACATTACCAAAATCTGCATGGACTAAAACAGTTTTTGCAAATAAACCTCTTTTAACTTCATTTTCATGAGCTCTTAAGCATTTGTTTATTGGGGCTGGTGCTGTGGAATATCAGGTTGAAGAGCTGCGTGTGGTGCTGGCAACCCCTGTGGGAGCCAGTTCGTTTCCCTGTTAATGTGCCTGGGAAAGAACCGGAGGAAGGCGCAAGTCCTGGGGCCCTGCCCTCATGGGGAGACCCGGAGAAGCTCACAGATGCAGACCAGCCCCATGCTGGTCACTGTGACCATTTGGGGAGTGAGCCAGTGGATGCAAAACCAGTTTCTAACTCTGCCTTTTAAATAAATAAAAAAAGATTTATTTATAATTATTCTTAGATTTGTTTCAAAGGCAGTTACCTTCTTGTGAGCAGACTCTATGGACTCCTTCTCTGTCCTGGACGCCTCCTGACCCAATGTGCCCATCCCTGGGGGCCACCACATGACCCTGAGGGGCTGACACTGCTCTGTGGATGGCAGTGTTGTGGCTGGGGGCAAACAGGAAAAACTGAAGCTGAGAACATACACCAGGGGTGATGTCGCAGGATGAAGTGGGACTGGGGAGACAGAAGGAAACCAGGAGGTAACTGAGTCCCAGAAAGACCAAGGAACTACCCACATCCTGGCCTGGGAGAACTGGGGCAAGTGCCAGCCACATGTCACGCAGATGCCCCAGTGCCCGAGCTGAGCCGTGGGCTTGGCGGCCTGGGGAGGCTCCTTTCTGAACCTCCCACTGGGCCAAACCTCATTCTACCTAGAGGACACCACAGCTGTAGGGCTTGGTGGCCTGGCAGAGCCCCGCTCCCGCTGGCCTGCAGGGCTCCTGGAGCCTGCATTTGGCCAGGGGCAGCCCAGGGCAGGTGCTTCCCTGTCAGCAGTTTTAATTCCAGTATGGCTTTCTGAGAAAAGCCAGAGAGCAGGAAGTACGTGGGCACTTCTAAGAGCTCAGGGAAAAAACACAGTTCAGAGGAAGAACTTATTTTTGGTGCAAAAACAATTTTGTGTGTGTTTTCTAAATAGGGTATTGTGTGTGTGTGTTTAAGTTTTATGGGGCTGGTATAGCAAAGCACATTAAGCTGCTGCCTGCAATCCTGGCATCTCACAGGGGCGCAAGTTTGAGATTCGGTTGCTCCACTTCCAATTCATCCTGCTAATGTGCCTGGGAAAGCAGTGCAAGATGGGCCAAATGCTTGCGCCCCAGTGTACACGTGGAAGCCCAGGGTTCAAGCTCCTGGCTTTGGCTCAGTCTGGTTCGCTGTGGCCATTTTGGGGAGTGATGCAGTGGCTAGAAGGCCTCTTGCTGAGACCTTCCCTCTGCTGGATTATTCCTCAGGGCTCAATAAAATGAGCATGGCTGGGCCCGGCTAAGCCAGCAGCCTGATCTCCTCCTGGGCTCCCACATGGGTGGCAGGGAACCAAGCACTGGGCCATCTTCTGTTGCCTTCCTAGGTGTATTACAGCCCAAATTTGAACCAGGACCCCTATGGGATGCCAGTGTGGGTCAACTTGCTGAACCACTACACTGTGGCCCTCAAAAACAATTCTGAAATCCATAGTTTTTTCATTTTTCTTGTATTTAAAGTTTTGTTTTAACACACTGTGCCAGTCAGCCCTGTAAAAGATTTGGGTACCAAAACAGATTCACACTTTTCATTCCTTTCCCCCAAATGAAAGCATTACTGGCTTTATTTATTTGGGAGCCAGAGATCTCCCAACTCCTGGTTTATTCTCTCAATATCTGCCATGAGCGGAGGCCAGGAACTGACAGCTCAATCTGGGGCCTCCATGGGTGGCAGGGACCTAGGCCCTCAAGCCGTCACCTGCTCTGCCTCTTGGTGCAGATCGGCAGGAAACTACCACCAGAAGCAGAGCGGGACTTGAACCAGGTGCTGACAGGCACGCGTGTGTCCCAAGCAGCATCTTCACTGCTGCGCTCAGCATCTGCTGCTCCACGTGCTGCCCGACACCTGCTCCTGCTCGCCTCTCAGGTCAGGCTTGTATGTTTCGTTTCGGAGGTGCCTTCACACACACCACCGCTGCACTGTACACACCGCACCCAGTATTCCTGCAAGATCCCTTCCTCTCTTCCTCCGCCTTCATCCTCAGCACCAGCACCAACACCTGCTCAGCACATGGCTGCCTGGCCCTAGATCCCCTGCACAACCTCACGAGCTGGGTCTAGCATGGAGAAGAGGGACACGAGCTGAAAGCACACTGTGGAGCCGTGCAGTGGAACAGGCAATGAATCCGGAGACCTAGCTCCGAGCATCTCAGCCAACATGCCACACCATCAGTCAGCAGCTGGGAACACTCCCCACTCAGCCCATCCTTGGGGAGCTTGGTAGGGACAACTGCAGTAAGGACCAAGGGGCGAGCCCAATGGAGAAGTGATGAGCAAGCTGTGTTTTTGTTCCAATATGGCTGGACTTTTATGGTTTCTATAGGTCGGCAGGGAAGAGGTAGAAAACCTATAGAGTAAGCACTGGAGATAGAATACCTGGCAAGTCTGTCCACTTGGCCTAGGGCTCCCAGCACACCGACGGCGTGGACCAGCTCCTTCCTGGCTGTGCACCGTGGGATGTCCAAGCTCTGCCTGCTGCATGCCAGCTATGTCCCCAGAGGTGACAGTACCTCTAACTTCTGCTCGCTCAACACTGCGTCTCACACTAGCTTGGCATTAAATGTGTGCACTTCCACATTTCACTTAGCTGATGAATCTATAGTTAGATGGCCACATATGGCTGGGGCCATCCTATTGACAGTAGACAGAAACACAGCCTATGGCTATTCCAACTCAGTCCATGTCAATATCCAGTTTAATTGAGGGCTCATTTTGCTTCCCAGCCAGGATGCTCCAAGGTAGTGAGGGGCCGGGCCAACTGATGGTAGCAGGTGGCTTTGTGAGCAGAGCAAGATGCCCAAGAGTACCCCACCCCAGCAATGAGACCAGCAAGTCAAGCTGCCTTACCTGGAGCAACGTGTGTCCCGCATGCTTCTTGTAGATGGCGTCGGCCCGCTCTAAGTAAGTGATATGCACAGGGAGGAAGTTGGAGGCCACGACTGTAAACCAAGCTGACTTCCTGCCCTGAAGAAAGGAGCAAGTGACTGCACAATGGAAAAGCTTGGAAAGCCTGCACTCTTTAGTGTGTGATCAATTAACAAGCAAAAATGAAAACCCAAAGCAAGCCCCCTGGAGAGCAGGTACGATCCAATTACAGGAATACCCGGAATAAAACAGGGCACGCTGTGGAAGCACTGCATTTCAACAAGTACCGCAAGCCACCACCTCGACATTTGCTGATACCACTAGAAGTGACAAAACAAAAACAGCCCAAAAGAGAGGAATGCTGTCTGCCTCAAGCGTCCCTGTGTAAAGCCAGCTTTAAATTGTAGTGATGTTAGGTGATAAGGGTGCCTGGGTTCCAAGGCCAGCTCTGCTCTCCATTCCAGCCTCCAGCTACTGCACCCTGTGGCAGCTGCAGGTGACAGCAGGGCTCCTGGGCCCCCTACTCACGGGGAGCCCCAGACGCATTTCTGGACCCTTGGCTTTGGCCCGCCCTGTCCTTGACTGCAGTGGACCAGCAGATGGGAAATCTGTTTCTATCTTTTTTTTTTTTAAAGATTTATTTTTATTGCAAAGTCAGACATACAGAAAGGAGGAAAGACAGAGAGGAAGATCATCCATCCGATGATTCACTCCCCAAGTGACCGCAATGGCCAGTACTGTGCCAATCCAAAGCCAGGAGCCAGGAGCCTCTTCTGGCTCTCCCACGTGGGTACAGGATCCCAAGGCTTTGGGCCATCCTTGACTGCTTTCCCAGGGCACAAGCAGAGAGCTAGATGAGAATCGGGGCTGCCGGGATTAGAACGGGCACCCATATTGGATACCAGTGCATTCAAGGCGAGAACTTTAGCCGCTCAGCCACTGTACTGGGCCCAGGAAATCTGTTTTTTAAATCACAACAAATATTAGCAATCGCTGGGTGATGTGGATGCTTGGCACACATTCCAACAGAGACGTAAGGCAGAGGCCCTCCTGTGAACGTGCAAGAGCCGTGCACAGACCTGGAGTCACGGAAGGGCCGAGCCCAGTGTCTGATGTTCTGCTGTCTCTTGGGATGTCGCCTGGTCCTTTTCTTCCCAGAGTGGAGCTACCTGGGACTGTATGGGCTACTCCGACCTTATGGAAACCCAGCTGATCCGCACTCCACACACCTGCTTTCCCACCACTTTGCACTGTGCTTTTATAAAAGTAGAAAAAACTCTTGCTTTCTTGTTTCAGTGTGTCATCCGTTTAGATATGGCTGCTCTGCTACAATAACAAGAATTCAGCTTTGTGGACTCCATGTCCTCCGTTTATTTCTAACAGATGAGCTTTACTGAAATGCACGAAGGTTCTAAGTGTGCAAGTTTAAACTTTCAACAAAGCACAGCACGCAAACCGAGCCGCAAACAGACTGGCACATGAAAGAAACAGAGACTGCGAAGCATACTAACTTGGATTTCAACATTTGCTCTTATGCTTCCCAAAGGACAGCGAAACACCATGTCTTCAATGCCAAGCTACTGAGGAACTCAGCATTCATGGAGGTTACAATGTTTAAGACCTGCAGCCTTTTATTGTCCTCTTTTCTTTTTCCTAAGTTTTTATATAGATTTAGATTTTATATAGTTTTAGATTACCTAAGTTTTATATAGAGATTCTTTAAAGAACAAAAAAAAAAAAAAAGGCAAGCATGTTAAACTAGCAAATAATCGACTTATAGGCATTTTACCAACCCAGTTCATATTCCAGAGAGCATTTCAAACGTTCATGGAAAATAGAACTGAAAGTTTATTTTGATATAAAAATATCTTTTTCACATACCACTCTAATAACTTACTGCTTCCTCAAGAAACATTCATATTAAAAAAAGCACAGCTAGCCTATTTTAA